CTGCATACGCATCCCCAACGGCTGCACCTCCTGCTGCTGCTGCCACTGCAAGGCGGCTCAGAGACACCCTGTCAAAGCAAGACGACCTGTCAGCTTCCACCCACGACAACAGTGAGGCGTCCCCCCGGACCATTGGCTTCCATATTCTCTTGGCCGTGGCTGGCCAAAATCCAGTACTTTTAGGATCGCTTTCATTCGGCCTTGCATCAGTCTCAGAAGAATGCCTCCTGGCTTTATACCCCCGCATCAGCCACACACGCTTCGTCAGTCTCGCACCCTCACGGATGTGCTCGCCCAAGAAACACTGGTTACACCGCGTTCGCCGGCCCGAACACGTCCATCCCATCATCACCTTCCGAGTCCCCGGACACCGCCGATTGACCGGACGATTTCCAGCCGTCCGACATGAACCCCTTCCGAACTCCAAACAAGGTTACCCGCACAGAACGTGTCGGTGTGACAATCCCGGCCGCCGGCTTTGCCCTCGTGTTTGCTTCATGCACCTGTTGGGCCACTGTAACTTTCGCCTCGTCGCTGATGGGTTCGCCAATTCGCAACCGCCGGCCTGCTGCAGCGGCCCCAGACACCGACTGTTCTGCTCCCGTCCGGAAACCCTGCGACCTTGTCCGACAGCGTCTACCTCTGACATTCGTGGGAATGCGGCCATCACACCGAACCCACGCCGCAGCGTGCTGCATAAGCTCTATGGAGTTTATCTGCCAGAATGGGGAAACGCTCTTTAACCCGCGCATGATCGTCGTCTCGACGCTATCGCGGCATGCAATTGAATGCAAATGCTCAGTTTACCAGCCTGACGTCATAAACAACGCCGCTCCCCAACTCTAACCGCCATGACAAGTACCCGGCGCAAGCGGCTCGCTATGTTGTTGAGCCTTCTCCGGCGAAAGCAATCGACAATCCACCACCCATCAGCTTTCAACATTGCCATGTTAAATACTAACAGATATCTTTGATCGAGAAGTCGATTAATGGCTTGGAGCAGCATAATGCATTTTAAGTTTTGGTCTTTTCTAACCACCGTTCCATTCCTTGACACCGCTTGATTGTCTAATGTAAGTAGGCATTCGGGCCCTTCAAGCAGCGCAAGCAACCACTGGACTTGTCCTCTGTCGACTTATCAGTCCTGTTGAGTATTATTCTCAAACAGGTTTGCATTCAGGTGACACATGTTGTCTACAGCAATACTGCTACTTTCATAAGCCTCAAACATTCGAGGTCACTTACATGACTAGATTTACAAGACGGCGTGGGCATGGCAGACGATATTGCGCTGGACTTGATATGTCTCATAGGCGCGCATGACTGCCATCACCCAGCCACAGCCGACGGAAAAGTTCGAGACGAGACAGTGCCTGACTTCCACTCCAATGCTTGTCATAACGTGTATCACCATTATGTCCAGCCATCAGTCTCGCTGTACAAATCCGGGATCCCGTCATGATGATACTGCTGATAAGGACATATCCACGGCTGTGATAAGAGTATCAGCTCACGAAAAGCTTCGTAGCTGTCCTTTGGGTCTATCCCTGAGGCTGTGTCGTATGTCAGCTTGCCAAGTAGAGTCTAAACATTGGATGACACCTCCCTATTCGCAAAATGACAAGGCGAGGGAACCACCATGACTCGCGCTCAGCTTCGATAGTCGGGCGGTACGCGCATACTACCAATATGAAACGTCAGTAGACAGTTGGTTCACCGAGCTATACGAGGTTTCCCGATTGGACAGCACAGCTTCGCTGAACCCTGACTACACCTCGTTTGTTGCAGAGTTCGTAAGCTAGGTTCGCAGTTGGTTGTCGTAATGCTAGGGGCGAGTTGACCTCAACCATGTCGGCCGACGAGGTCCTCCATCATCGCCAACTAACCTCTCATTCTGGAAATGATCTACTTTCGACTATTACTTTTTTCTTTTTTCGCAAAATATGCTTTCATCTTCATCTTCGAACTTTTACGTATCAGTTCTTTTTTTTAATCGATTCACTCTCATATTTTAAGGCTTTTCATCCAGCTTAGCACCGTCAACGCCAAGTGCCTCAGTTGCATGACACGAAGCTCGACACCTCGCTTTACCCCTTCAGCCGCCCTCGTACCTCGTAACGGATGCGAGACAGTCCCCAGCCTGGCAGATCTACGAACCATAGATCCGTCCATCCCGAACATGTTCCGCCGAAAATCCATAGCGCGCGGGCAGAGACAGGGGCTCCCCGCGGCGCCGGGGCTGTGTCTCCTTGGCAAAACGGGCCGCGCCTTGTGGGAAGGGGTGTAAGTGCCGGAGTATGTCGTCTGGGGCACGTATCTTAATCTATCACACTCATCGATATAAGGAGCCTGCATTTGTTCTTGGGAGAACAACAATTGGAAGTCATCTTCTCTCACAGAGAGCTACATCACATACCTCCGCCAGCAGAAATTCGATAACCGCCCATCATGTGTCCCGACTCAGGCCTCAACCTCCCCATCTCCGATAAGCCTATCGTAGGCGCCGTCAGCTTCCAGGGCTTCCTCATTCTCGCCGGCGGCATGCTCACAATGACGTCTTGCTCCATGTCCTTCTACCAGATCTTCCGGCACGCGACGAACTACACCAAACCACTCGAGCAAAAACAGTGAAAACACCCTTCCAACCGTCATCTTTGCCCGGCCCCGAAATTGGACTAACCACCAAAACCAGAATCATCCGCATCTGCCTCCTCGTGCCAATCTACACCCTCTCCTCCTTTCTCTCCATCGTCTTCTACAAACACCACGTCTACCTCGCCGGCATCTACCTCCTCTACGAGGCCTGCGCCCTCGTCGCCTTCTACGCCCTCTGCTGCGCCTACCTCGACACCGACCACCACCGGCTCGCGACGTCCTGGGACAAGGATGGACTCAAGAAGTGGTTCTTCACAAGGCCGTTTGCGGCGTGCGTGCCGGCGCTGAAGGGGTCGTATTATGACCAGCCGGCGGCGAATGCGGGTTGGATACGGTTTAATGTGAGTTGTGGCCTCAAAGCGGTGTCGAGCCCTGTGGTGGATTTCGGGGGAGAAGACTGATTTGTGCGGTAGAGGTTGTGGATTTGCATCTACCAGTACCCCTTCATGAAGCTCCTGGTCACAATCGCGACGTATGTTACTGAGAGCATGGGCGTGCTTTGCTCCGAGGAGGGCGGGACGAAGTATGCCGACTTTTGGGTGCGTCTCATATCCCCCCTATAAGTGGACTGATGGACTGACAAGATAAAGCTGCACACTGTCGTCTCGGTCGCCATCCTCATCACGGCCATGCACTGCCTTATGCAGTTCTACTACCAGTCTCAAGAGCTCCTGGAACCGCATAGACCCGTGCTCAAGTTTCTCGCCATCAAAATCGTGGTGTTTCTATCACTGATGCAAGGGGTAAGCAAGATACATCTCTCATTCGACGATTTCTTCCTGACCAAAGACTGAAAAAACAAAGTTCGTCCTCGACGCAATCGTCGGACGCGACGACCAACCCCTCGGCCCCACGGCCGCGATATCCTACCCGTCCCTCGCGATCGGTGTGCCGAACCTGCTCCTCTGCCTCGAGATGTTCGGCATCGGAATCATGCATCTGTACGCGTACCCATGGACCCCGTACTTCGCACGCAATGGCTCCGGGGTTCTGGCTGCGGCAGGGAATGACGGAGACGAAGACGGCGGCAAGAAGGGCTCGGCTGTGGTGGATGTGTCGGTGGTGGAGGCGCAGAGTCAGGGAGGGTTTCTGGGCTGGAATGCGTACGTTGATGCGTTGAACTTTTCTGACTTTGCGATGGCGTTGTATCGGGGTGTAGGATGGGTGTTTATGAGGGAGCCGGGCCGGGGTTGAAGGGTGAGGACTTTGGGAGCGGGTGGTTCCAGGTTCTGGGAGGTAAAATGGAGATGTTACTGCTTCGATCCATTGCAAGTATCGCATCTCCATCATGATCATCAGCAATGGAGAGAGGTTGGCATAGATATTATTGTATATCAGTCCCTAAAACACCGGAAAGCGTGCGATGTGGGATATGGATGATTGGACTAAACAATCCTCAAGTACCCAAGAATATCCCTTAGCAAGGCATCCTTCCGCCGCTCCGAACTGTCGATTCCTCGGTGGCTGTGCATTCTTGCCAACTCCCTCAACCCACAACACAATTCTAGGATCAAAATTATCGCCAGTGGATGTTGGAGAGTATCAATTCGTGTCATCTGCATCCGAGACCTTTGCTTTCTCATCTGCTGCAACCAAGTCGTCTCCATAGACATGAAAGCCTCGAAAGACAATGTGTGGAATGCTCATTTGTTGGCTATAGCATTCGTCTTCACACCACGCAAGAGCTCCTAAGAAATTACTCGGCTGCACAGATGTGGCTTATGCAAGTATTCGGCCCAGCGCAAAGCTACATTGTGACTGTCTGAACACCAAAGGATGACGAGGCGTCAGCCCTACCCAACGTCCCCTACAACCGTTTCTGGGGTAATTAACGCGGTCTAGTCCGTGGGAATCTATGAGCATACGACGGGGCTAGTACCTAGACTCAAGCTCGGGCGGAACTAGGCATTCCTTCCCGAACATTTCGTTCGACCACAGCAAAATCTTCCAAAAGAGTTCTCGTTGTGTAATGCAGCCCAATCCGCGCCCATCGTAGCGCGACCGGGAGCTATGCAGGCTCGGGACGATCTTCTGCGCTGCGCGCGCGGCGGTTGTGGTCAATGGAGCCACGCTCACGCTCTCGCCATGCAGCTTACCTTACCGGGGCTGAAAGTCGTCGCCGAAAGGATGAACTCGCTACGGCAACGTCGGTATCTTACAGGAACACGGGGAAAGATGCAAGGAATGCAGACTGATAGCATTTGGTATAAGACCTTACAATTTCCCACCTTGTAATCTGAGTATCATTACAATCAGGCAGCAGATTTCGACATCCTCAATATATCAATAAACCGCAGCTCAACCTTCGGGGACCCTTCCGACCACTTTCTGTCGAGACCGTCAATATGAAGTGCGAAAGAGCCTTGCAATGCATCGTCGGCGGCTGGGGCTACCTCAACGCCACGTTGACGTAAGTCAGCCCTCAAGACGAAGTCGTCGTCTTGCATGCTATTTCCCCCCCTCCCTCGATACAAGATACTTACCACCTCCCAGTAACACCAACACCGGCGAGCTCATCCCCGAATGGCACAGCATCTACCCCTCCGGCGGCTCCGTCTACGCGCCCTCCGGCCACATCTCCTTCGTCATCACCGCCAACGACACCACCCAGGCAGACGTGCGCCCCAAGGACGTTTCTCTCCCCGCAAAGCCCACCGACTCGGAGCACGACTGGGCCCTCGTCGCGCAGCACAGTCTCGGCGTCTTTGGCAACTACCGCTTCTCTAACGTGACCTGCGACGGCGGGGACGACAAGCGCGGCAAGCGCGGCGACAAGGGCAAGGGTAAAGACGGCAAGGGCGAGAACTGCAAGAAGGGCCCCTCGGGCGTGTTGACGGTCGACGTGACCTCGGCCACTCTTCCCAGCTACGTTGGGCTGGAGCTCGTGAACACATTTGAGTTCACGGACGACTGCAGCAAGCATATGCTCAAGGCTGACTTTGGCGGCGGGTTGGTCCAGACTGTCTGGTTCTACCGCCTGCCTCAGAAGGATATTTTTGATTAGAGAAGGGTGGTGACTGATACTCGGCGGGGATGCTTGGTCCGAACAACATGATCCGCAGAACGCCTTTGGGTTTCAGTCATCATTGGACAATGTTCCCGAACGACAAGGTATGGCGATATAGATCCACGTAGATTAACTCAAGAGTAGCTACTTTGGTGCCTGTATATAAAATGAATATAGGATACGTTGCCTTCAATGAACAATATTTTAGTCATGACTTCAACCATGAATAGTGCATGTTGATTTTGGAATCGCCAAAGCAGGGAGGGGTGACGTTTGTTTGGGTGACCAATTTCCCTCGGCTGGCAGAGAGCCCGTCTTCCTAAATTATCCTGGCCTTGACTCATAGTAAGCTGCACTATTGTCGGAAGGATGCCGCCCGATCCGAGCTGCACGTTATTCCGGTGCATCTCAGTCGATCTACTGATCAGATTGATAAGATAAGTGGGCTCCTGGCTGCATCGAGAAGGTGAAAAGGTTAGAAGTCCCGGGAGGATTGCGCACGCCACACCACCATGCAGTCTCACCCAATGAGTGATGCCTGCTTATGGTTCATCAGCCTCGGAGCCGATCGAACTCGTGTCGGACACCGATGTCAGAGCTGCTAAGCAATAGCTAAAAAGTCGTCAAGACGTAGCTGCGAGATGAACCGGAGTCACCTCAACAAGAACACCATGCCCGAAAAAGATTTCACCGACTCGCCTTCAGCTCCAGCCCTGATCATCAACAATGACGATCGAGAAAGGCAGCAAGTACAAGAGACCGACGCAACTGGACTCGTTCGCGACCGATTGCAGAGCTTATACAATGAACACGGGGTACGTTCTCGCGAAGACCTGAATCCAAACAATATCGTATTTATAACCATTCAACTTTAGGCGACTTGGGATAGTCCTGACGATCCAAATGACCCCTACAACTGGTCAACACGCCACAAAGTCACCATCGCGATAGTCATTTCAACTGGGCAGCTGATCACGCTTATGTCTACCAGCGTCATGGCGTCTGCATTGCCGCAGATATCAAGAGATCTGCGCATCGACGCGGCGACAACACAAATCACGTTCTCGTTGTTTGTCTTAGGCCAGGCCTTTGCCCCCTTCCTAATCGCCGCTCTATCGGAGATGTATGGCCGAAAGCCCGTTTGGGTCATTTCGTGCTGTTTCTATCAACTCTGGAACGCGTTGTGTCCCGTTGGGAAAAACAAAGGCATCATGATAGCCGGCAGGTTTCTTGCAGGCTGCGGGGCGAGCGCTGGAGTAGTAGTGAGTCTCTCATTCATTGCCTTTCGTGACATGTCCAGCAACGCTAAGAAATCGTCGGCCAGTTGACGGCACCCATTATGGCCGACATGTATCGGGCTGAGGACCGGGGCAAGTCGCAAGCAATTGCGTCCCTTATCCCATACTTTGGCCCAGCTCTGGGCCCAATTGTTGGAGGTCTCATTGCGAACCATGTCCAATGGCCCTGGCTCTTCTGGATTTTGAGCATGTTCTCAGCAGGTAATACCATTTTGGGGCTCTTTTGCGTCCAGGAAACATATACACCAGTCTTGCTGCAGAAGAAACGGCGTATTCGAGGTGAGATAATTTCCCCCACGGAGGCGATGCGCGGAGGAGCAGCGTACCGAGATCTTCATGCCCGCCTGTCGACAAATATGCTGCGACCCCTCAAGTTGTTTGTTCGGCGACCTGTCATCCTTGTCATCTCCTGGATCTGGGCAATCAGCTTCGGGCTGTACGTTCTCGTCCTTTCTAGCTTCGCCACTCTTTGGATCGAGCGGTACGGGCAGTCAGAAACACAGAGCACGCTGAATTACATCGCCTTCGCCGTCGGGATCACCATCTCGTCTCAGGTAGGAGGCCCGCTGATGGATCGAATCTTTCGTTACCTCGGTACCAAAGCCAATGGTGTAGCAACCCCGGAGTTCAGAGCTCCGTACATGGCTATTGGAGTAGTTTTGTTGCCAGCCGGCCTGTTCTGGTACGGGTGGGCGGCAGAGCGAGGTATGCATTGGGCGTTCGTGGACGTTGGCGCAGCCATATTTACCTGTGGAACGTTCATCACAGGCTCGGGCATCGGAGCGTACCTGATTGACGAGTTCAAACACGCTGCGTCTGCCAACGCTGCCGCTCGTATGCTATCCAATGTCTTGGGATTTGTGTTTCCCATTTTTGCCCCGCAACTCTTCAAGGCTCTGGGGTATGGGTGGGGGAACAGCTTGCTAGCATTCATCTTCATGGTGTTGGGGCTACCTGCGCCGCTGGTGCTCTGGTTTTGGGGTGAGCGGCTGCGGAATTTGGGGAAGAAGGGCCATGAATGAGACTTGGTAATCTGTCGTGTAACGATAGCTGACATTGTCACTAATCGAAATGAAAGGTGCTCCAGGCACTGTAATGCTTGCGCTTGTCTCGTCGCAAAAACGATGAAAAGCTCAGCACAGTAGTGCAACTCACGATGGGGACTTTAGTGATTAGATCCGTAGGGTCGATCAGACCACTTGATGCTGGTGTTCGTGACGTCCACATGCCACGTTTTGGTACATGTTAACTAATATTGCGCTCGGAAGCGAGCTTTTCCGGGAAATAGTCAAAGACGCCGCCATTCTGGTGACCGTTTGTCTTGCCCGGAGCCTCGGAATAGGGTGCTAGTCCCTGCGGCGTCGTATCTCGGGAGCGGCTAGCCCGCGCCACGCGAATGCTACCCCGGACCCGCTGCCAGCATCATCGAAGTCAGCCCTAGACCGTTTATCGCCGTTCATCAAATGCCGGATAGCCTTTATGGCGGGGAACCAGTCCGAGCTCGCGAATGAGTCCCGTTTGCCAGCAGAAACTGAGAGGCAAGCCTGGCCACGTGCATCTTGGCGGCTAAGAAACCCCTTACATACCATGGCCATCATCGCGTGGGCACCTAAAAATTATAAAACGATGGCGAGTGCTCCCTTAACGGTCCCGAAGAGGCTGCCATGGTTGCGGCCAGTCACGAGAATCGTCGTTAAAACACCAGCTGCCGCTGGATCCAGCTACCATGCAGTACTCACTGATCGCCTGGTCCGCGGTGTTCACCATACAACTTGGAGCTTTTGCTACTGATTGGGTACCAGAGATTCTTGAAGGGGTAAGTAAAGCACAAGGTGCAGCTACTCGCCTTTTCTGATGGATTAGCAGTGCAACTTGCTGGCTTCCCAGCTGCCAGGAAGAGTTTCTTTCCCGAACTCCACGCAATACGCGTTGTCAAACATTTACTACTCAGGCCGCCAGGCAGAGATCCACCCCGCCTGCTTCGTGACGCCCGAAGACACCGAAGATGTCGCAACCACGATGAAGATTTTGACTTCGTCGTCGATCCCTTTCACGGTCAAGAGCGGTGGCCACACAGCCTTTGACGGAGGGTCCAATATTGCGCACGGAGTGACCGTTGATTTGGTACGCCTCAATCAGATCGTCCTCTCCGATGATCGCCAAACTGTCTCGGTCGGACCTGGCAATCGATGGGCGAATATCTCAGAAACGCTCGACCCGCTGGGCCTGGCCGTTGTTGGTGGACGAGTCAGCGACGTCGGCGTGAGCGGGCTCATTCTAGGCGGCGGCATATCGTATTTCTCGGGACGCTACGGATGGGCCTGCGACAATGTCCGCAACTTTGAAGTCGTCCTGGCGTCCGGCGAAGTCGTCAATGCTTCCCCACAATCCAACCAAGACCTCTTTTGGGCTCTCCGCGGGGGCGGCGGTTCAAACTTTGGCATAGTCACACGCTTCGACCTCGTGGCTTTCGAACAGGGCGATGTTTGGCTGTACACCGCGCTGTACCCCCTTTCCTCCAGCACCGAGCTTGTGCCTGCGTTTGTGGACCTGTCAGTCAACGGCCTGCCGGCCGATCATGACGGGCATACGTTCTTCATCATGACAAATCTTGCAGCACTCGGCGGATTTATCATTGCGAACTACCTCTATCACGCCACGCCCCCCACCACTGTGGAAGATACGCCCGAAGTTTTCGTCAAGAGCGCATCCGTCGCTGGCTCGTTTCTGAATACGACCACTGTAGCAAACATTACTACTCATTCCAAGGCAATCTCTGAGCCCTACGGGGGGCGCAAAGTCTGGGCCGGGACCTCCGTCTACTTGGGAGAGGGGGCGGCACAACTTCTCCAGGACATCATCCCGTTCTATAAAGAACACGCCAATCTTCTCATCGAGACGGCGAAAGAGACTAACGAGACCGTGGAGCCGTTCTTTGTGTATCAGCCCATCACGGCAAACATTCTCGATGCGATGCAAAAGAATGGTGGGAACGCCTTGGGGCTTACACCGGAAAAGGGCCCACTGGTGCACATCCAGGTGACGACACACTGGGAGACAGCGCATCTTGACTGTCTTGTGAGACAGAGTGCCGCAGACCTCATCGCCCAGATTCAGGCTCTTGCGGAGGAGAGGGGCTTGTTTGCAGGTTACACGTACATGAATTACGCTGAGAAGAACCAAGATGTGTACGCTGGGTACGGACAGGTGAATCACGAGCGGTTAAGAAGCGTTGCGTCAGCTTACGACCCTGATGGACTTCTCAGAAGCCTTTGGCGGGGTTATTTTAAAGTTTGATGTTTTCAAATTCTTAAGGATGGATTTCTAATGAGTGTATTACTGTTTCTTTCAATGATACTTTTCTAGGGGATGCAACTGAACTTGAGCAGCGAATATTCCGATTATTTCAGACAACATTGAACATGGGGTTTTAGTTAGAGATCGCCTAATTTTCCTGTGTCTGCGCGGCTATATTTCCTGTACACTTGACCATTACTATCGAAAGCGATAGTAGCGATAGCGGCGAGGAGGACAAGGACGAGGACGACGAGGACGACGAGGACGACAACGACGACAACGACAACAACGACGACGACGACGATATCGACAGTAGTGGAGTAATTAGAGTATAGCCACAGGAAAAGTAGTCGCTCTAGCACAGGAAAAATAGGCGGTTTCTTTAGTTGATTGGCTGGGAAAATTTCTCTTCCTGAACAGAAGGCAATTAGGTCGTTATTATGTTGCATGGGCACCTCTATCGGAGCCTAGACCTTGATTGCTCAAGCTCTGTGCCACAAGCGCCACTGGCCCGCCTATCAGCAAATACCTGATGCCAGTTGCACATCGGACACAATTCCATGAATTTCTGTTAGCGTCTCGCAGGCAGTATTCTCCGAGAGAAACTCAAAAGGCCTCAGTTCTCTTTTAAGAGCAAGGCAGCCCCCCGTCTCTTTCTCAGGCCTCCATCACTCCACACATCAATAATCGCCGCATCACGTCTTTCATCATTATGTCTCATTTATTTCGTCTGCCGCGGGAGCTGCGCGAGATTATTTACGGATACTACATCACCGTCGATGGCGGGTACCTATGCGACACCGACGCTTTCGTCGCCGGTCGGCTCAAGAGGATTGACGGACAGCCCATCGACATAGCCTTGATCTATACCTGCAAGACTATCGCAGAGGAGACGGACCGCGGAGGCCTCGCGATGCGCCTCAACGCCATCTCCTTCACAACTCTCTATTCGCCAGACCTCAGCACCCTCGCCAAAGCTTTCCAGCAGTTGATGAACGACGGCCTGGAGCCCCTCCGGGATGCCATGCTCAAATGCGTTGGCTACCATCTCTCGGAAAGTTCAATCTTGCAGCTCAAGGGGGGCTACCCTTACCTCGCGCCCGTGCTGGACCGTCTCAAGTCCGAAGAGCCCCCAGCGCGCCTTGGACATGAACGGAGCTACCGGACCTACAGGCGCAACGGGCCGTACGGCGAGGTCCCCTCAACCTATCGGGAGTTTGTCAAAGATGCGCTGCGCCTAGCGGCAGAAGAACCCGAAGCCTCACGTGCGATACGTGACTTCGTGGGGGCGAAGATGACGGGAGCCTACCGCGCGGATGGGCCTTGGACTCATTTCGAAATTGTGAACGCCCGCTCGGAAGCGTGGGATATTCCATCCACACACGAGATGAATGAGTTGATATCTCTCACAAAGGATGAGACAACCGTCTCTTTTGACTCAGCCGATCCGACCCTGTCAAATACCGGTTCTCCGCCGCCGCTGCCGCCATTTACTTCCTGAAATCCGTCCCTTGTACCCTCCGCCCTCACCTCCGCAAAATCATACTCCTCGAAGATGCCAAATGCGTCTCAAACCCAGAGTCTCATGCTAGAGGACTCATTCCGTTCTGCCAGGACAATCCGTTGCTCCGCGTGGAACGCCGCGTCAAGCTGTGGACGAACGTATTCCTCACGGGCATCACGTACGATGCATACCTTGAATGGCAGTGCGCTCAACAGACGGGCCAATACGAAGAGGGCGTCCGTACTCCGACCAGATAACTGCGGCCTTGGGGCCCTGGATTGTGGAGGCGGCGGCGCTCGTTGAAGCTGGCATGCCCCCGGCCTCGTTTTCACTGCTGTTAGAAAGCGGTGGGGCACCGGAGTTGTGCAGCCAGATATTCCAGTCCGTCTTGCACCGCGATATAGCATGGCAACAGGCTTGGATTGAAAGCGCAAGAAATGGAACTTTGGACCTTTCGTGGTTTGGCCTGAGAGGCAAGCTTGCGGTCAACTCGGTAAGGGAAAGAGACCATGTCTTCCATGCGGGTCCAACAAGGGGACCGCAGAACTTCTACGACTTTGCAGGATACTTTTTCGAAGAGCTCCCACGAGTGGTCAGAGAAATTGGCGAAGGTAGCTCGATCATTCGGTGCGATTTCGAGGTAGGAACACCGTTGGATTTCCAGGTCATCGTCGACGATCACAAGCACTGGGGCGATGGTAAATGGATTCAAGAATGGTCCAGCCATTCCCCAGCGATTTGGAAAACTGTATCGCCCCTCCCTGACTGGAAAACGATTGTCAAGGATAATCTTGTGCTGTCAGCAAGGGAGCACCGGGACGACTCAAGATACTACATCTAGCTGTGAAGGTGAATGTCCTACATGCAGGCTCGAGCACCATGTTTTCTGATTTCAATGAGCATCAGACTTGATCAGACTCATCTTAGTTCTTTACACTACCAATTTCAGCACCCAACGACCACAGCGGGTTGCCGCTGAACTTGCAGTACAGGACGCCGTAGGCTTGCATTCAGGACGTGATCCGATTGAAACACGAGAACCTCAGGTGTACAAATGTCACGGAACGAGAACAAATGATGCTGCCTGCTTGGAACGTGTCAGTCTAACGTCAGAGAGAGACGGACACAGATCACTGACCATTTGGCCTCATCTTTCAAGGTCGCAGAGAACCTTGAAGGCAAGGATCAGCATGGCTATAAAACTAGCCAAGCTGGCTGCTCATCATTCATGTTAGCACAAGAAGTATCACAAAGGGCGTGGAGACCGAACTTACCAGGGATTCTGACACTACGTTGACCCCTCCACAACAACATCCCTGTCAATCTCTTCCAAGATGGCTCAACTTGACCTTGCCGACGTTCAAAACATGGAGATGGCCATAGCCTGCAAAGTGGGAGAGATGAGCCGTGACTCCAGAACGATAATCAGCCTTCGGGTCGACTTACTGGCCATCCACACGATCCCGACTTCCAACAACATCCTCGCTTCTACACACATCTCATCAAGAGGGATACCGGCTTCAAGAGAACAGACAAGCCGATCTCGATAGACAGCAAGATGAACCATCGTCAAAGAGTTCCCTGATAACATATCAGCTGCAGTTCGGAGCGAATTCGGATGTTGAGCACTGACAGCTTGGCTTGTTAAGCTGTGTATGGCTTCTAGGAGGCCCAACAATGCACCGGCCGCATGTTGCTCGCGTACGAGAAGCCCCTGAACACATGCTGGCGGCAATCGATGATGGCACTTCGTGTCGACCCTCGGAAATCGCGTTGTTAGAGACGCTGAGAACACATGTCAGTGACCCCTCCCATGACTTGGAACGTTCCCAACTTACCCGGCGACGTTGGCGTGGCAGATGGCCCTGTTGGCCGAGATACAGTGGTGTTGGGCGTGGGAGCATTCGCAGTAGGGTGGCTGCTGTCTCCTCGGGTCAGCATTTCACAGCGTCGTCGTGGTCCTCGCTGATCATGACTGGGTTCTCCCATGTGATCCCTTCAAGGTTCATTTTCCCCAACACCCCATCCTCCGTCATTGGAATGCTCAATTTATCCATGTATCAGTTCTCAGTCCGCCGCAAAACCTTCGATATCCACGGGGATGAAGTGGACATGAATGGCCCGTGCCCCACGTTGCTGCCAGTTTAGGCAAGAGACGGGTGGAACTGGCGCTTGAGCCTCCTGCAGGGCCCTGAAGCTTCAGTGGACCTCTCCCCCGCCCCGGACCAACACAGTGCAGCGATGCAACGCGCACCACGCGGAATAAGAAAGGATCTAAACCATCCCAACTCGGGCATCGTGTCAATCAGATCCTGAGAACATCGGATGACTAACGACAGAATAGGGGCTGGTGCCTAGTTGCACCGTTTTTACTGACATCACCTCCATGCCAACTCCACGATAACTACCTTAACCTGCCCGTTCCCAACTCGACTCTGCTGCCGCTTCTGCCTGGCAGTCTGCCTGATTGAAGCCAATCCTGCCCACATCGTCATGTTAATTGATAAAGGCAGAAAAGGCCTGTTCTCACCTGCCTCCCTTTCCCTCCTTCTCATCGCCACCTCAACTGCCGCTGCCCGACAAGCCCCTTCTCAAATCATCTTCAATCTCCAGAACTCATTCCAGTCTTTCCCCACAATGACCTCCTCCATCGCTTCTTGGTCATCACCATCCCCACGCTCCCGCATCCGCATCGTCCAGGATCGGGATGACATCGAGGCAATCTACCCCCTTCTCTCATCATACGCTCTCTCCCCAGACTCCGCTTCATCCGTCACGGAGCTGGCCATCGACCCTGCCGGCTGGCCGAGCGGCGCCAGCTGCTTCTTCGGCGACCCCAACACCCCGCTCACCGAGCCCGCCAAACCCGTCGATGAAGCAGCCCACGCCCTTCTCGAAAGCCGCGTCCGAGACCTCGGCATGGGCGAGACGTCAACGCAAGCCATGCTAACAGCCCTAGCCTGGAAAAAGGCCCACCTTCTCGCCCAGAATCCCGAATCATCAAGCGGCTTCGATGAGCATAACAAGCTCTACGCCGAAGTCGCCGTGGTGCTGCTGCTCTCCTACACCAGGAACGTCACCCATATACTGGTCGGCAACCTGGAATGGACCCCCCTCCTCAAAGAGTACCTCAAAAAGTCAAACTATGCCCTCATCCCCGCCGACTACCGCGCCTTCCCGCAGCTCGAGACCGTCGAGGTCGTAGATCTATCGTGGAAGGACGACGAGCGCCACTACTATACCCTGGAAATCCTCGACTATCTGCACTACTTCCACCGCCTGCCCAGCTTCAGAAACCTCATTCTCGATGGCACCGGGGAGTACCAGATGGAGAAGCTCCTGTTCCCCGCCGGGACGTCCTCCCCGTCGTTCAAGCGCATCCAGGCGAGGTGCACAGACATGTCCGGCGGCGTCTTGGGGATGCTCCTCAGAGCGCCCAAGGGTCTGGAGGAAGCTGTCGTCTCGATGGGCGGACTGTGGTCCATGGACGGAGGGAGCCCGATCGTCCAGCTGAAGACGATCGGCAAGAGCCTGCTCACGCAAAAGGAGACCCTTCGCGTGCTAGACCTCGACCTTGAGAATGGCATTCATGCGCGTGAGTCGGAGGAGGAAGCTGGGATGGAAGACTACAGCCTGGACGAAGAGGGCGAGGAAGTCGTTGGGGTCACAGAGGCCACGGTTGAGAAGGACGAGTACTTCGTCCTTGCCGAGGCCGACGCAACCGGCCCGCTCCTCCCACACAGGATCCCAGATACCAGGAAGTACGGCTACACCATCGGCTCCTTCCACGACTTCGCAGCCCTCACACATCTGAGCATCAACGTCCAGGCGCTCATGGGGCCCAACGACGGATGGGAACCCCCGTACAAGCTGAAAGAGGAGCCGCCCTTCCGGCTTGTCGATGCGCTGCCGCCCAGACTGGAGTACTTGTGCCTGTACGGATACCGAAAGGGGGAGAACTTTGCGGTGGATAGCCACGTGGAGGAGCTGTTGGAGAACAAGGCGAAGAGGCTGCCGCGGCTGATGGAAATCAGGAGCGTCGATGAGACGATTCTTGGCGAAGGGACGAGCTTCGGTGACAGTCCCCAGGAGGACGATCTTTACCAGGAGAAATTGGAGAGGATAGAATACGTCAAATCATGGGAGGCTTAGCATTTCAGTCAGAGAAGAATACACCACGATCTATGCTAATGCAAGCCCTGGTCAATGTATCGAAACCTCGTATTCGAATTAACTCTTCACTGCTCAGATATCTGTCGTACAGGTCATGAATGGAAACACCTCATAAAAGCCACACAGGAAACGTCGCAAGCAGACCCATCACACCCCACGACGCCCTCACACCACCCACCCCGCCGCTCTCCGGAATCTCGCTCCCCACCGCCGCCGTCTGCGCCCGCGCGCACACAAACGACACCAGCGGCGGCTGCGGCAAACTCGCATTCGACGCATTCGCCTCCCGTGCCATCCACGTCTCGTTGAACCCAAACGCCACAAACATCGGCCAGAAAAACCCCGTATCCTGATGGTACGCCGTCAAATTCCCCTTCTCGCCCCAGTCCGACGCCCACTGGAACACAGCCGAGCCGTTCACGTACGGGATCATCTCGTCCGGCACCGCCTGTCCGTCCTCCCACGGCGCGAACATGGCGTGCGTCTCCCGGTCCAGGGCGATCTCGTAGCCCTGCACCCAGCTGCTCATCGCACACGGGCCGTCGAGCATGGTGATCAAAGGGCACGCGGCGTCGTTCGCGAACGCGGGCTTGACGAATCTGTCCATGAACTCGGACTGGATCGCGGATGTGAGCCAGGCGACGCAGGCGTGCGACCAGACGGCCTGGCAGTCGCCGGCGTCGTGCATTTCGCGCTGCGTGGCGGGGGTCCAGGTGATTGGCGGCGCGATGCTGAAGGCGCAGACTTTCCAGGTGCGGTGGTGGCGGTACGCGGTGCCGTTGTGGAGCACCGGCGCGATGAGGGCTTTCGGGGCCGTGAGGGAGAGGACGCCGCCTGAGACGTAGGTTGATGTGTTGAATAGGTGGGGAGACGCGCTGTGGGCTAGGGAGATGCCGGCTTTGATGTCGAGGGATATGGCCCAGGTGAGCGGTGTGGTTTGCGTGCTGGCGTTGCCGGGGTACGGAGCGGAGAGGTTGGGGCCCTGGAAGGGGAAGTGGCCGGTTGCGTTGGGCGGGGACATGAGACGGCCCCAGGTCGCGGGCGGGATGTGGTAAGGTGCGCGGGTTGAGTTGATGGCGATGATGCGCTCCGCGTTGGAGGCTTCAGTGAACTTGACATCTCTTGCGTGAATGGTGGCGATGAGGAGATGGAAGCAAACCCACCCAGAGAGCATGGTGGATCTCATGTCTGGGATAGTACAGAATCTGGATGAGTTATGAGAACTTGAATGATGACAACATGTGCAACAACCAGGATACCGTGGGGTGAAACCTCTCGCAGAAACGAAAGAACGAAGATTCCTGGATCCGTGTACTCTTCATACTGGTTGCCCAAAGCCTTATAACCAACCTTTTGGTTTAGTTCCGTTTCCCGTGCCGCAAAACTGAGGCCACTGGCGCCGACAAAAGGGGCACGAAAAGACTTTAGGCAGTATAAGAGGAAACCGCCAAGTCGTGCCAACTCGTGTTGGAGGCTTGTTCTGTTGTCGCGCTTGCTTTACATAGGCAAAAGCATTGTGACCCAAAACAGCTCCTCGACACGCGATTGGACGTGGCTACCAAGTGGTTGCTGTGCCTCCTCCAAGCATGTTTAATTGACCAAACAAGACGTCTAGAAGAATGGTCACTTTCTCTTGAGACTATTGATCTTGGCATCCGTCATACTGCCACTTCGTTTGTAGAGTTGTCGCGTTTGGATGGGGTGTGCCCCTTTTCTACTTCAAGCGAGCTGAGAATGGGTGCAACATTGCAACCCGCTGGGGTTAACGGAGAGGGAGTGAAAGTCTTTCAGTCTTGTTATAAGACAAGAATTATATATTACAGAAATCTTCGATTATCATTGTTCCTCCGGCTGAAGACGCTTGGGGAAACTTATCACCCTCAAGACTCCCAGTGGCCACTGGGAGCTGACGAGAACAACCACAAGACAGGGGAGGCTCGAGCAAGCAACCTCCGTTCCCACGGGAAGCGTTCCCGCGTTGCCGGAAAGACCCATGCAGCCCTCCACCATGGAGCTCAGCAGCTACCCCTGTATCCCGCACCAACAAAAGCCACGGTGTAGCCCATGTGATCATACGCCTCAATCTGGCAATACGAGTCGAACTCGCTTCCGTCGATGCTGATTCCAGGCTTCTGCAGGCACTGCGCAAATGGTTAGTATGGCCTAACATGATTTCAGTACATTGGGTCAATGGCGTACTGTGCCGCTGTCAACAGTTCCCTGATGTCATGTCAGCAAGAATAGAGGGGATATCGGGACGGCAGATTGGAACGCACTCGGTTGCCAAAGTAGGCTTTGCAGGTGTTGACGGTGAGGTCTTGGTCGTAGAACCACGGTCCGCCCTCGTCGTATTGCACGCAACAGTTGTGTCTGGTGTGGTCTGGGTGGGCGCTGTGCTTGTCAGTAGTCGACGCGTTATTGGTGGCGTTTCCTGTGGCTTTACTTACACGACAGCAGCGGCCGCGGCAAGGGCAAGGTATCCGACGCGCATCTTGGCGATGAAGAGTCCTTCAATCTGATAATTGGAAATGTTAAGGAATGGCAAAAGGGCAAGATGCTGCCGAGATACTGGCCAGAGAAGCGGGTTGCATTGGGCTGCTAAATAGTTGGCGAATTGTGCTGGCTTGTGTTTACGAGTTGACGGGAACACGGCTTTGGAAGAAACTCAAAAGTTCGAACGTAGACCGTTTCTGGAATATCGTTAGCAGTTGTTAAATTGAATAATGTTGTATGATCATTCTGCAAGGCGCCCGGATCGTGGTAGTTGTTCTTAATTCCGACAGCCGGTGGGTTGGGCCAATGCGCGCAATGGTGGCTTGATACGAGAAGGATATCCTCGCCATCTTCCATGCCAAGGCAGCTTTTGATTTGTCGGAGAAATCGTCATGTGTGAGTACAGGCCTATCCGTAGACTGGCCCTACCCGAGTGTTCGTAACAACGCTTAGCACGACTCGTGATGCCGAACATAGTGGACCCCGAAATGATGTAGTTTGATGAGTTGCGGTCCTCATTAACGAAGAACGCCAGATTTTCGGACACTAAGTGGGTTTTGTGGCCGGCTGTGACGGCCCCGAAAGTGGTCTGGTCAGATGAATCTGTGTCTTGCCGTTGATCCGATAGACATTATGGATGTCGACGGAGCTGGGGTCGTTCAAACTTGCAAACCTCGTTCTACAGCCTCAATACCGAGAAGACGCTTATGACATCTATTTTCAGCTGTCTTTCGACCTCAAATGCGTGCCAGATTGGACGCAGATGCTCGGACCACAAGAACAAACAAAGAGTTCCTGTTCATACGCACTGCTGAGACTCGTGTCACGTAGACTCGCGGAGCTAAAGACTGGCGTGGAACTTCATGAAGGCACGTCCCTGGTCATCCCATCGGACGTCCATCAAAAAATCGTCTGAATTAATGCTCCATCACACTCGGTTCAGTCGACTAGTCCGTGCGTGAAAAGCTTGTCTGCACTTCGCTTGATATGCCGCGGAGTCCGCGGCCCTTAGCGCTATTCGACGATAATCCAACCTTGTTCTTGACTCAACATACAGTCTCATTTGAATAAGTACACATGACCAGCGCCCACAACGCGCAACACCGAATCTTTATTCATATTCTAGCCCAGTCTTTGAGCGAAGACGGCCAACGCAATGGCAATAGCCGGCAACAGCAGCATGACCAAAACCAGCCCCGGATCCAGCTCCTCCAACGCCAACTCGCCGCTTGCTGACAGCAAGCTGAGCGGGAAGCTCGGCGGGACCGCTCGACGACGCCTCTCCACCCTCTCCAGCAGCCGCCGCCCAACGTTGGGAATCTCGACGACCAGACGGTGGCGGTAGACCTCGGCCTTGTGGCGCACATACAGCGTCTGCAGCTCCGCGTCATACGACCAGTCCCCGTCGCTAACCTTAGCCTTGATCCCGCCCTCGTAGTGGTACCGCGGTATAAACACCTCCGTCGTGCGCAGCTTGTCGTCCTGCTCCTCACCAACGCGGTCCTGGCTCGTCCACTCGAACTCGTACTTCAGCGTGCGCGGGTCCCAGTCCGATCGCAGCGGCCGGCCGGCGATCTTAACAGCGTACGGCCGGATCACAACGTCGAGCACGCGGCCGCCGCGGTACAGCTCGTCTCTAGCGTGCGGCGCGTTCGCGTAGTCCTGCATGATGCGCCCGGGCACCTCCTCGTCGTCGCCGTTGACGACGGAGAAGTCCTCCTTGTTCCAGCCGTCGCCGTACTCGACGCGGTTGTCCGGGTTGTAGTTCCACAGCGTGAAGCCGACCATGTTGTCCTCCATCGCGGCGATGAGGGCGTGCATCAGCTCGCGCTGCTTGTCGTAGTTGCCCGTGGCGAAGGCCTCGCCGCCGTTGATGTCGTAGGGGATGCCGACCTCGCCGATGAGGGCAGGCACGTGGTCGCCGAGAGAGGCTTTGCCGTACTTGATGATGTTGCCGAGCTGCGCGCGGTAGTTCTTCCTCAGTGCCCGCGCCCCGAAGTATAGCGCCTTGAGGATGAACATGCCCCTGGAAAGGCCCTGCACGTTCACGCTCATCCATGAGTGGTGTTTGCTGAATAAGACGTTGAGATCGTAGAAGTGAGGCCCGAAGACGAGGTTATCTGGTCGTTTTGTGTCGATGACTGTCTTTGTGGCGTAGTTCTGCTTCTTTGGACTTTTGGCTTCTTCCGAATCGCCGTCTGCCCAAGGAGGCATGAATTCGTTCGGTATTGGCTCGATAACACAAAATTGACGTGGTGATTTCCGTGAGACACGGTCTGAGAAGCGCTTTAGAAAAGGGGCGTAGAAGTCGCGGTACCATTCAATTGGCGTCCCCTCGCGTCCAGGACGGTGATCGACCTCGAAATAGTTCTTCTGGAGTACCTTTGGCTTCTTGCTGGATGCGTCCCAGTCCCATGCTCCGTGAGCACGCCATACGCACTCGCCCAGTCCTAGGTTCTTCCCCTTCGACGTCAACCAAGCTGACCGGCCCTTCGGGTCCACGACGGACCGATGAGAGATCCGTGTGGGAAATGGCCATGACTTGACGTAGTAGTCCACCTCTTGTGCGTAGCCACTAGCTAATGCGAGAGCCTGCGTCAGGGATGGGTAATGGCCGATGTGAAGATCTGTGTCGTAGTTCCAGCCATCGAAGCCATGCAGGTTGATCAAGCCACGATGTGGCTCGTTCATCGGTTCGAAGCCGATGCAGGCTTCCAGGTCAGCCACTTCATCCGCCAACCGCCCAAAAGCTTCAATCAACGCATCTTGCAAGAGATCCTTCACCGAAACCGTCTCATCTTTGCCAGATTTGGTCTGTCGGCTGCATACTAACTTCGGCGCAAACACATCTCCCGCCCAGAAGAGCGTCGCCATCGTCGAGGCAGCCAGCTTCTGGTACCCTGACGGCCACACGAACGGGCCACTCGGCTCCTTCTCATTCACCGGCGCAGTCACACGGCGCAGCTCATCTTGCCCGTGGACATATGCGGCCCCTGTGTCCGTGAAGGCCTCAACGTCCAGGCCGGCCACCTCAAAAGTCCATCCGGGTGCACCGCTGCCGCCGCTGAATCTGCTCCAGACGTCCTGGTGCGCACAGATGAAGCACTTGATGCCGTACGCGGGCATCATCTCGACGAGTTGGCGCAGGTACTCGATGTACTCTAGGTCCAGGTCCGTCCGAGGGTCCGGGCCGGCGTGGCCGATAGATTCCCATGTGACAAGCAGCCGGATCAGCGGCAGGCCCCAGGCCTGCAGCCTGCGGAAATGCAGCGGTGCGTCCTCCAGGGGGAACGGCCGGCCGATGAACGTGACGGTCCGGTGCTGGAAGAAACCCTCGGTGAGGTGAGACAGACCGTTTGGCGTGGTGGGCAGCTTGCTGGCCCCAGATATGTTGAGGCCGTGCAGCGCCAGGGTCCGACCGTAGCCGTCGACGAAGAGACCATCTTTCAAGGCTATTGGGCCTCCCAGAGCCGCGTCGGAGACGTCGTTGGCGGCATGGGATGCCGTCGGTTGAATAGGCGGTGACATGGTTGATTGTTTCGTGGAACACGAATCAACTCGTTGGTCGGTTGTGGTGTCTCATTACGCGTATTGATAGGTTGGTGGAAAGGGTCCCCTTGCAGATAGGACAGATTCGTTGGCTTTCATCTTAGTCAGCGGCTTCAGCCACAGCACATGATGGCCGTGCATTGTTCAAAGCCATTTCTGGATTATGTGGGTTTGTGGAGCTGGGGAACAGCTGTGAGTTGGATGAAATTCCGTCTCAGTACACGATATTGACAACCTCCAAAGAGCAAGAGGTCTTGGGAATCGGGCAATGATTACTGTTAGCAACTGGCATTTACATAAGAAAGCGCCCTTGGTGAGCATCCGTCCCTGACGGGAATCTGTATATGGAAATTAAGCACCGAGGCCCCACTGATCACCGCTGAAGGTTTCCCCCGTCACGCATCTGGAACGACATCGTCTTGAAGACTGCGTATTAATTGAAATGACACCCCCGAAATCCATGGACAACGAAACGACGTTTGTTCCTGAGATGTTTGATTAAGGACATACAGTATAGCGTCTTCAACTTCTGTCTTCTACTGGTCCCGCTAACAACAGCGTATGTCGTTCAGACGCAGAAGAACAATTAAGACCCCACCCTAAGTAACGGAATCCCCCCACAACGGAGACGCGTTAAAACGTAACTTTTTAATACGCACAATATAGATATACTCTACTTCTTATAACTTTTTACTACTATAATAATTAAAAAGAATTCCTTTAAAAATATTAAGGTATAATAAATACCTTTATATACCCTATTTAATCTTATTTCTATTATTATAGTAATATAAAGTAGTAAGCCTATTTTATATATTTATAATAATAAAAATTACTATTTATAGCTATTTATTAATACTTTATTAACGCTATATTAATATAAGAAATAAAAAAAAGTTAGTAATACTTTAGTATAAAATAAGAGTTAGTTTTTATAATATAAGTATTTATATAAAGCTTTTTTAGCTTTACTCTTAGCTATTATTATGTTTAACTCTTTATTAAATGTATTATTTATATTAAGAGTAATATTAAATTTTTTAAGAAAAAGTAGATACAAGGATATTTATATTATAACTTTATTATAAAGAGTATAAAGGTTTAGAAGATTAATATGTATTAAAAAGATATTAATATTAATAATATGAAGAAGTTTTTTAAAATTATAGTTCTTTTAAAAGTTAAGAAAATTCTTATAAGTCTTAAATAAAATACAAACCAAATAGAAATTACTAAAAAGGTATAAAAAGATAATTTAATACTACGATATTTTAGTAAGTTTTTAATCTTTATCTCTAGTTTAGATTAATATACTTAGATAACGATAGTTAAATATATTATAGTAAATAGTAAGTATCTTAACCTTTTTATTATTATTTTAAAAAATAACAATATAGTAGTAATAGTTCCCTAATAAACTAAATAATTTTACTTTTTATTTTTTATATTATTATAGAATAACTAAATATTAAACTCTATAAGTCTTAAGTAACTAAAGAAAGTATTTATATTATTAATAATAAATAAAGCTAAGAAATCCTAATCTAAGTGTTTCTTTATTATAAATAGCTATATAAGCTATATTTTAAATAACTTTATATAGAAATACTGTATGAATAATATTCACTTAATATACTTATTTACTTATTTATTATATCTTATTTAGTTACTTAATATATTAACATTTTTACTTCTAAAAAAAGCTTATTAATATTCTCTTAAAATATATAACTATACTTTTAACTTTATACTAATTAAGAAGTAGAACCTTTTATATTACTACTTTTGTATTTTAAAAAAACAACTTTATAGTTTTATATTATTAAATTAGAGTAGAAAGTAATAAATATATAGCTTATTAATATTACTGAATTATTAATACGTTAGTTGTTTTTTATACTTATTACTATAAATATTCTATAACTTTCTCTATAGTATAAGATATCTATAATATAAAGAAATATTTATAAAAATAGTATTATAAAAATACTAAAATCCCCTTATAATCTAATATTATATTAATAGCTTTTTAATAATAAAAGGCAATTGATAGGGACGCATGACGAATTGATACGGACGCATGATCCTCTCGGACGCATGAGAATTTGGTTCTCTCATTGGTCCAAAAAATAAATGTTAGTGCATTCCGATTCTGCCAGCTCCCAGACAAGTACCTAG